ATATATATGTATTGCATATATATATATGTATTGCATATGTATATATATATATGACACAAATGTCATACCTCCAGTAAAAAGGATCTGTGACTTGTGGGTAGTACCCTCAATCAGACAGCAAGGGGCGTTGCTGCTAGGTCAGTCTGTACCGAACGGAAATACATATATGGCCTACTGCCATATTGCCTTCCAAGGACTAGATGTGTTCGAATTTAAGGCTGTATCTTCCAAGGACACTGTCTACCTGGACTGGATCCTTTGAGGTCCTTGAAAATAAACGCTGAAGGATGGACCTGTCTCTGTCACTTAGCAACCGTCACAGTTGACTCAGAAAGCACCTTTTTTCACTCAATTTTCAGTGACACAGCCACCAGAAGTCAGATTTTTTAGATTCCAGTTTTCTAGTCTGTCACAACATTGTATAACTGTGGCCACGAGATTGAAGTAGAGTGTAAGACCAATTGCAGATGGTGGGTGGTGAAATAACAGAGCCAGCCCTGCCTTGTTTGGACCAAGGGAAAAGACAGCATGGAGTTAGGCCTGAGGCTTGTACCATGAAGCAGGATTATTAGGTTAGTGAGAAAACTTCAGCATCAAGCCACTGATCTTTATTTATTCACTGAATTGCTGATAGACAGAAAAAAGTTAAGTCACCTGGCGCCATCTTAGTACTCCCCACTTTCATGGAGTCATGGCATAAATATGCCTGTTATGTATTGTTATTACCATAAGAATGTAATCAATAGATATATATTGCATGTACATCATCAATTTGGCACTTTTGGCTCATCATCAGATATTGTGTGTGTATGTCTGCTACATGTTCAATTTAAGCCTGAGGAAGAAGCAGATCCACCCCACTGACACGGGTGAACATCCAGGGAACGGACATTGAGATACTTTGCTCTTATAAGTACCTAGGTGTTCAACTGAACAACAAACTGGACTGGACTCAAAACACGGAGGCTCTGTATAAGAAGGGTCAGAGTAGACTCTTCCTGCTGAGGAGACTGAGGTCTTTTGGAGTGCAGGGGGTGCTCTTAAAGTCCTTCTAAGTCTCTCTTTTGGCATCAGACATCTTCTATGGAGCTGTCTGTTGGAGCTGTGGCTTATTTGTAGCTGAGAGGAAGTGGCTGGATCAGCTGATCAGGAAGGCCAGCTCTGTGATTGGATGCCCTCTTGACTCAGTGCAGGAGGTGAGAAACAAAAGGATCCTAAATGAACATCTCTGTTCAATAATGTCTCCCACCCCATGCATGAAGCTGTTGCTGAACTGGAGAGCTCCTTCAGTGACAGACTGCTGCACCGTAAATGCACGAGGGAGCGTTATCACAGATCCTTCCACCCAGCATCTTGAAGTCTCTAGAACCACCACTGTTCCCAACAACCTTAATAAGTTGTTACATTCATGCTGATTTTTCACAGTTTCTATCTCTTTCTATTTTCTATCAGTTCCATAACATACTACTGTAATTTTGTACATATCTGATGTTGTTGCTATTTTCATGTTGTGCTTTCTGTGAGAAAGTACAACATTCTGACAAGGAAGCCTTCATGGTTCTTTGTTAAGCCAAAGCCGTCATAAAAACCCTGCCTATTAGAGGCATCTACAGATCCAAAAACCTGGAAACACTAACACCAACGCAGTTGTTGATGCTAAAAACCTTAGCTGCATTAGCACCATGGGAGTTTAAGTCTGCTGATATTTATGCAACCAGAAGATAGAATCAAGTTAAAAATATGTTATATGTGTATAACAAAAGAATAGCTGCTTCTGATGCAGGAACACCAACACTGGGCAGGGGTGAAGGTAAATCATGTCCCAGGGAAGATGCTATTTTTGTGGACAGTCTGCACCTCAGAATTCCTGGATAGTGAGACGAATATTGGAGACATTTTTCTGACAAAAAGGGATTTGTGTTCTAGATTATGGATTAATCCACTGGTTGACTACAGTATGTGTGACTGCAGCACTGCAATTCAGAAAAGGTAATCAGCAGCACCGGGGCCCTGCAGGGTACTGTCCTCTCTCCCTTCTTTATCACCCTGCACATCACGGACTTCAACCACTGCACAGCTACCTGCCACCTTCAGAAGTTTCTGATGACTCTGCAGTAGTAGGATGGTGAGGAGACGGAGTAAAGGGATGTGGAGGACAATGTCGTTACCTAGTGTGAGAAGAACCATCTACAGCTCAGCATGGCAAAGACCAAGGGGCCTGTGGTGGATCTGAGAAGGATTGAGGCCCCAGTGACCCTTTTTTTCTATCTTTGGCATAAAAATTGACACTGTGGAGAATTATAAATACTTAGGGGGTGTGATCGGAAAATTTAGATTTCTCTTGTCTCAAACATTTAGTTATGCTATTATATAGTGACAAATGTTTTTTACTCAGTTTGTTTCACCTGCAAACCTAAAAAATGCCTGAGTGAGAGCTGATTTTAGATACCACCTTCACAGTTTTTTCCTCAACATAAGGGAGACAAACTCATGTGTAGTTAGAATAGGGCAGAATGCTGTGCTATAAGGGCTGTATGATCAACTGTTCTCTCTTTGCATAGATATGAAAATATAGTGCTGACTGAGTGAAATCTATCTATCTATATTTTTTCCACTAGGATTTAAACTCTAAGTTTAAAAGCTTTTTCCCACTACAGGGGGGCACTTGGACAATAAACTGGACTGGACTAAAAGCACAAATGCCCTCTACAGGAAGGGCCAGAGCTGTCTATATTTTCTGAGGTGGCTGAGGTCCTTCACCTTCTGCTGGACAATGCTGTGGATGTTTTATGAATCTGTGGTAGCCAGTGCCTTCCCTTAATGCTGTTGCGTGCTGGGGCAGCAGACTGAAGGTGAAGGTCGCCATCAGATTTAATAAACTCATCTGCAAGGCCAGTCACATTGTTGGAGAGGAGCTGGAATCTTTGACAGAAGTTTCAGAGGGGAAATGTTGGCCAGGATAAAATCCATGCTGGACTATTCAACACATCCTCTTCATGTTGTGCTGGTCAGTCACAGAAGCACGTTCAGTCAGAGACTTGTTTCTTCATGCTGCACCACAGAGAACCACAGGAAGTCATTCCTGCCTGTGGCCATTAAACTGTATAATTAATTTCATTCAATTAATCATTGTCTATCTCCAATGTCTGTCTATTAATGATATTGCATAAGATATTGTGATTATATTGACTGGGGACCTACAAGAAGAAATAGTGACCAGAGAAAAGAAGATAGGAACATCAAAGTTTCAGGGACTGTATCTGTCTTGTTCCATTTGCATTGCTGATGTTTCTGGCCTGTCAACTAGTGTTTGTGATTTCATTCCCCTCCCCCCTTCTCTGACTGTCCATTTGGCACCCCTGTGCTGCTGCTGCTCAGGCATATTACCACTGATTCCTTTAACCTTTTTGCCAGCCTTCCTAAGCAGGCCTCTGACTAGTTGACAGTGCCAGATTGCCTGAAAGTCCTAACCTGACAACAGCCAGAGGCATGTCTCGCTCATGCCTCTGGCTGTTGTCATGTTATGAAAGTCCTGCTTAGTAAGAATCTAACATTCTTCTCTGTCTGTTTACCTGATCATGACCTGTTTTTGCCTTCCGATTTTTGAGCCCCTATTGGATCTGTTTTTTGTGCTGCCTGGATCCCTGACCTGTTTCTGTGCCCTGACTTTGTTCAAGGATTTTGCTTTGGATTCTCTGAATATCTGATCACCTGGCTCCGATCCTGGACCTCCTTTGACCACGATTACCTGCCAAGCCTCAGTGAGAAATAGCTGTCAAGGAACCAAACTTTCAGGAACCAAGACATCCCGTCTTATTAAATAAGGTTAGTTTCTTAACTGTCAGACCTTTTATCCTCCATCTCAGCCACTAACCTGTTTGCTCTCCTCCATAGGCTCTGGTTTCCCTGATTCTAAATTACCTGAAGAGTTTCTTCAACAAATCGTATTACCCATTGTGTTCTGGTTCTATGTGGGTCCTCAGCCTGAATCCTAACAGCTGATTGTTTATATATTATTAGTTTTCTATTGTTCATTTTTTAATTATTATACAAGTCAACAATTCTGGGCTGGTGTATAGAAGACCTGGAACATGGTCCTGGTGAGCATAGTCTGCATGCGTTGGTGTGTGTTTGTCTGCTGCCCTCATGTGGAGAGCATGGGTTCATGCAGGGGTGTTGAAACAGCATACAGTACCTGCGTATGTCCACGTGTGAGTTTTGAAAGGGGCGCATTCACCTGACTAGAAGAAGGAGAGGTTGCAATGTTACTTTCTTTTTTTTTTGGACTGCTTTTACTTTTACTCTGGTTTATTTTTTTACATTCTAGCATCTATCACTCCAACATAACTGCCTCTATATCCCAACTCTGTACCACTGCTCTGATCATAGATGTAATAATGTGTGGGAATGGGGGTCATGTCCCCTGCTCTTTAAACGTCCATTTTGGTCCGCTGCACTTTTTATGGTCCAAAAACAATGTTATGCTACAGTACACAGATCGTTGAGCACTAGGATCAAGCTGAAAACAGTCAGTCAAACTGAAGCCTGCCTCTTTGAGCTTAGACTACCCACAAGCTCCCGATTGACCACCCGTCTATTTACAGTATGCGATAGGATGTCACTGCTGTCACTCCTGAGAAGCTCACTTTAAAAACAACTGATGCGCCTCTGAATCGGGACTGTGATTAAATGGTCAAACACGCTGCAGTTATAGCTATAAAAAAAATACTTGCGTCCCACCTACTTTGGAAATCAAATTTTCGTTGATGGCTGCATGTCTGTGAATAAATCCCATCATCCTAGATCCACCAGTTTGGGTATAGCTTGTCATACAATTCTACAGGACCCAAAGATAACATACCAAACAATGTCTACCAGAGCCATTTGAATGTTATTACACAGTTTCCCCAGAAGATGGAGTAGATATACCAACAACCTGTGCTTCTACATCCATAAACTCACTGGTGAAATGAAAAGGGTCAGAGCAGTTTCTTTTAGTTTAATATTGTACGACATCATTAGGTGTAAACTTGGGTCTGGTTGTTTTTATTCTGGCACAAGTTGAAGGAATAAGGAAAAACTTCCTCATTTTGAAAGCTATTTCCAGAGATGAGATGAAACGGTCTGGTTTTAGTCCAATATTCCTGGTTTGATCAGGTTGGAGGTCAGAGGGGCCCAGAGGTGACCTGATTGGCCTTCCTCTTCTCACATTTTAAACTTTTAAAGATTAATAAAGGAAGCGTACTAAAACAATGTCTTAGATAAACAAAAACCTTTCTTCCTACTAACTCTGTGTAGCTTTAGTGACCCTTGAAAATGATCCCACATCATGATGCTGCCACCACCATGGGGGACACAAGCGTTTAATGGGAGAATTTCCTGAATATTATTGTTCATGTTGTCAAACTGCCCTGATCTGGTCCCAACTTGTTGCACATGTTTTATGTGGCTCTATGAAAGCAGTCTGGATGTAAAACCATGACAGTTTAAAATGTTTATTCCTGCAGAATTTTGGAGACTAGATTAACTTTTATTCCACATTTGGTTGTTCTAGCAAAGATATCCAATTAAACACAGGAGTTGACAGTCTTACCATGATAGAATGTGAACAATTTAAAGAGCTTTCTGATTTTGCAAAGTTCTGAGTTTAAATATCAGCTAATTTTTCTGTAGCAGTTCTTAAGCAATGCTTGAACAACTGGGGAAGATTTATATTAGAGAACAGAAAGCATTGCAATGGTGCAATACCTGGGAAAAGAGAATGATGTTAGCAGCTAGTAGTTAGCCTCTTCCGTCTAGAATAGTTTGTCTGGGAGTCAGTGAACCACACAGAGAGACCTAGTTAGCTTTCTCTCACAGACCAAAGCCAGGCCTCCATGGCAGGGAACTGATATCTCCCTTCAAAGTTAATAAGTTGGGTTACAGACACTGGTACCGCAGCATTAACTTACTCCAAGAAACATGGCAGGAGTTTTTCTCTTGGTTAGAGAGCCAGAGTTAAAAGGGAAGAGGACCCCCTTGTGGTGCTATAGAATTACCCTGAAGAACCAAGAAGAATGACTGATACATGATTCACCTTAGAAATCATTTTATTATAAATGTAGTGATTTTCAATAATTTACATAAATAAAGTCAATGCAGAAAAAGGAGGGGGGTCGGGGTGGAGCTACTGGACCCTGAGAGGAGGAGGTCCAAGGAAAAAGTGCAAAGTATCGACCATCAGTGAGTTCTCTGAGGTTGGTAGCTGAGACTTTGCTGGACGTCATTGTTCAGATTCCTCAACATGCTGGAAAATGCTGCCCTGATAACGTGATGTCCATTAAAGTAACCTTTGTTGTTACAGAGGGAGTTACTAGATGGTTCTGACCAGTGGATAAATGCTGCTGGGATGGAGGCCAGAAACTGATCACCTCTGCTCAGGTCCCCTGGGGGAGGGAGTACAAAGCTCCTATAGACCCAAAACACCCAAGAAGACATCACTGATGATGCGTCACAACGCATCCATGGGATCAAGAATGAAGAGCTCTAGGAGGGGCTGCTGGTATTTTGATCTGTTAGTGGGATCTGAACACCATTTTCAATCCCATTATGAGGAGTCTTCTTCTTTTTCTTCTTCTTCAAGACAATCACAGCGGCAACAATCAGAACAGCAGCCACAGTCAGAACAGCAGCCACCAGCCCAGCAATCAGTCCAATGCGTTCTCCACCTGTAGAACAGAACCAGTTGTTAGTCTGATCCATCAGGTAGGTGGTGACTGAAGATCATCATCTACTGCTCTGAGACCAGTTGATTCTGCAGAGTCTGATCGTCAACATTTATAGAAAAAACCAAAGTTTGATCTGAGGATGAGAAAATAATTAATGGAGGAGCCAATTATCCTTTGGTGTTTGTCGCCACCATGGGGCGTATTTAATTTTGAGTTCTGAGTGTCTGATGAGGTGATGGGTTATTTGAGGTCAACCATCAATTCTGTTCAGGTGTTGTTAATAGGTTGAAGCAAACAGTTTTCTACTGTGCTTGGTTTGGATTTATGGCGAATTTATGTGGATCTTAAGGTAAACAGTAAGACAATGGACATTGTACTGAAAATAAATGACTTTATTTTATGTCAAACGGAAGATCGGCATTCTGAATCTTAATTGAGCGCACGTAAAACCAATGCCTTCCAACAGCAACCACCAGTAGCCTAAAATATAGGATTTTTTTTACTATTAATCTAATCATATTTTTGTACATTATTTTCCATATATATTTTCTTCTTCTTCTTCCACAAAATGAAGCTGAATGGATGAGGCGAAAATTATTCTCTACAGTTTCAGATTTCAAACATCTTTAAAACATATTTTCAGGTCCAGCTTTGTTGGTTTTTATCTTTTTTCTAATGGTTTCTTTTTCTAGTAGTTAAAATTGTGACATAACAGTAGAAGCCTCTTGTGTCCACAGATGCTCCATCAGCAGGAGGATCTGGGACTTCTGGCTTCAATGAGCAGATTTTACAGAAATGATGACACCAATAAATCAAAGTAGAGTGAATGTGGATCACCTGTTGGTCCATCAGAACCATCCTTGTTCTCTCCTTCCTCATGTTTTTTTCTGTTGTTCCCTGTAGAATAGAACCAGATGTTAGTCTGATCCATCAGGTAGACCAGCTGATTCTACTGAGTCTGATCATCAACATCATTAGGAAACATCAACATCTGATCTTAGATGTTTCTACCATCCAGAACCAGGAAGCTGCTGAAGGTTCTGATCCAGAGAGACTCACCTGGAGGATCTACATGCAGGTGGATGATGGTCTCTAGGCGGCCCTCCTTTGTTACGGCCAAACACCCATACGTCCCATTGTCTTCCTTTGTCACATTGCTTAAAGTCACATTGACTTCTCCATCAGCAGTAGAAAGGCTCTGCAGGCTGGTTCGACCCTTAAACTGGGGATTGAGGCTCTTTTCATTGATCTTTCCATTCCTGTATACAAACACTTCTTTTTGTTGTTTCAGGTCATCTCGGGTCAGCCTTAAAACTGTGACCAGGCTGTTTTTAGTAGCTCTACATGTCAGATTGATGTTCTGTCCTGGTTCTGCTGGGATGCTGACCACATCTGTAGGAGAAGAACAAAGACAGGATAGAAAGGTTAAAGAAATACAGAGAAGCAGGGATGGAGTCAGAGGAACCGTCTGTAGATCTCAGAGAGGCTCGAATCTGGAGAAGGATCCAGAACATTTCTGCTGCTCTAGAGCTCCCAGTAATCCCAGTGACCTTTATTAATGGGAGAAGGTTGGTACCAGCAGGACTCTACCTAGAGCTGGAGACCTGCCTAAACTGACCAATCAGAAGAGAAGGACCTTAGTGAGGCAGGAGGCCCCCTTGGTCTCTCTGTCAGAGCTTCAATGTTCCTCTGTGGAGAGAGGAGAACCTTCCAGAAGGAAAACCATCTCTGCAGAAATCCCCCAATCAGACCTTTATGGTGCAGCAGCCAGAACAAAGCTGCTGCTTATTAAAACATGTTAAAAACAGGAACAATATTAAATGTTTTCCAGTTGCAAGATGAGACTGTTACACTAATCATTTTTAGCAGAAATATATGACTTTAACAATTAATTCCACCTTAGAAAGGCAAGAGAGGGCTAGCAATAAATCCACTAGAAATCTCAATAGGGTTTTATTAAATCAACTGTAACAGTTCCAATGGGTTTGTTTATTTCAGTTTATGGCAAGGAAATATCAGTATTCAATCCATTTGATAGTTAATCAATGAACATCAGCTGTAATGACACTTTCCTTATCATTAAAGCAGCAACATCCCTGAAAATCCCACCAACTTAGCTTGTTGTCGGCATTTTGGAATGAATCAGCTAAAGGACTGTTGCACAGTAACTTGTCTGCGTGGAAATAAAATCAGGTAAGACTGCAAATTACATCAGATAGATGTCCAGAGTAAAAGCTATGAGGCGGGTGTGCCTCATAGGGACAGGAAGGAGGACATTTTACCCAACAGGAGGTACTTTTGAATATTATTTGATTTAACCAGTTGTATTTTACAGTAGACCAAAGAAAATGAGATCAAACAGGTTTCTGGGACTATGGTGTGAAAGTTAACCATTCTGGTGTGCTTGGTTTTTACAGTTTTTACACATTAAAGTCGTACAGTAGCTGCTCTTTTTCTCTTTTCCAGGAATGTGTTTCTGCCCTGACCTCTTGGTCTGAGGAATGGATGAGGTAAACAGGAAGAGCCGTGCTCTCTTTAGAAAACTGCTGAGTCCGACTGTGCAGGAAGAAGCAGCAGCAGCTTCACTATAGACATGTTTACCCTTCTGCTGTGGTCAACGTCATGCAGAGGCAAGATATAAAGGTCTGATGTCAGAGGTGTGGTTGAGGACAGAAACTCTGCTTTGGGTTACGGTAAATAAAGTCACAAAAGAGTCACATCATCTCCACCTGCATAGCTGCCCCACATTAAACTCAGTCAATACAGCAGGGGCCATATACAGCTGCCATACTAAAGCTGCAGGTTATTACAGAATAAAGAAGATGAACCAGATAAACTCTCCTACTCCAAATCTAACCCCTGCTCATGATGACCTCAATCGGCCTTGTTGGTTGACGACTCTGGGTCCTGTGACAAAGAACCTGTTCTGCGAGCCTGCATCTTCAGGAATGCTGGTGAGCTTGAGTGCTATGGATGAACAAAGGAATCTCTGATTTTAAAACCACATTGAGGTGAAAGGACAGCAGCTGTGTGCCTGCATGATTTACAGGGACAACCAGTAACCCAGGGTATACATGGGTATATGGCGTATACCCACTTATTTTTCAAGCCACATTTGTGTATATATACTTCTAAATCCCCAGTGATCTGCACTATTAAGTAGAATGTCTGGGTCAAATTTCCCATTTTTTCCTAGGACAGTGAAGCCATCACCTGTGCTAATCTGCTTCTAATTGGCTAGTACTCACAAGCTTCACTGATACATTGGTTAACTGTAGGCATGATGACCAGTGAGATGACACAACATTTTTACTTGAGTGACAGGTTTAACTTGGATCACAAAATGTTCTGGTCAAAATCTTTTTTTTTTTAAGCAGTTAAGGCTGTACAGAAGGATTGTCTATTCATTAATTTCCACCGCAGGGTTGTTGCAGCCGTGGGCACGCCATGTAATCACTTCAGTCAAATTCAACACTTCTTGACCTCTTAAAAATATCCATTGATCCAGTCTTAATATAATTTAACCTAGCATAGCTAAGGAACAAACCTATGACAGAAACTGTGAGAAACAGGAACTGAAAAATAGAGCGCTTACAAGCTGGCTGTCTCCTCAGGCTTTAGCAGGTGAGGTTTATCTAAAGTTTAGCTGTTCCTGCAGCTTCTTCAGGTGAGAGCCGCTGTACCTTTCCTCTAAAAGTCTGCTAGTTAATGACTTGATTTGTGATAATCACATTGACTTGTTTTGCCTTACAGAAACCTGGCTGCAGCAAGAGG